TCAGAAATGATTGGGAAAGGGTTTGAAACACCAGCGAGAAACTGATTTTACAGCATACATCGCGCCATGTTCGTGCATATTCAACAGGACGGAATGGACAGCTACCACGCCACTGGACACATCTGCAGTTCCAACGCCATTCCCGCGGCCATCATACCCCCAGGCCACCACGCTCCCATCGGTCTTCAAAACAGAGAAAGAAAAGCGATGGCTGTACAGCGAAGACACACCACTTGTCAACTGACTGGCCACAGCAGTGGTGTCACCACCAGCACTGGAGTGACCCCAAGCAAAAACGCTGCCGTCGGATTTCAAAGCAGCAAGGGCTGATCCCGTCACTCTGATGCCTGGGAAAAGTGGAATCGTTGTGCAAAAATTCAAGCTGCTGATGCTGTCAAACTAGGTGCCGGCCCTGCTGTCATCCACCGACTGGCTGGTTGATAGGGGTTTCCATGTGGGATGTTCAAACAACCCATTGAACCACACCCCCAATCCCAATAGTCAACCAACTCAGTGAGGGTTGCAGCAGCATGGGATCAAACACAAAGAACACAATGAGGAACTCCTCAATCCACTTTTGGGTTTGTCTCAAGATGGCGACTACCGGCACAACGACCTTTAACAGGGAAGCGTAAGGCTTAAGGCCAAGGTTAGATAAAAAGGTACGCTCTCTGTTCCCCGGCATTTTTCCTGTAAATTTTCGCTGCGTTTCGACTACGCAAGCTAGCACAAAGTCTGCGCCGCGATCCAATCGTGGGCCCCGGCATTTTCCCTGTAAATTCTTGCATGAAACTGCTCTTGTGGAATGTCCATGTGCATTTGGACTGCGTCCCGGTCTTGACCCCCGGCATTTTCCCTGTAAATTCTCGCATAAAATGGCTCTTGTGACATGTCCATGTGCATTTCCACTGCGCAGGCAGGCTCACACAAAACGTAAGCCTAACATGAAATTGCTTTTATGGGATGTCCATGTGCATTTCGACCGTGTGCAGGCTCGCACTAAGTGTGCGTCCCAATCTTGGGGCGCGGCATTTCTCCTGTAAATTCTCGCATGAACTGCTCTTGTGAAATGTCCATGTGCATTTCGGCCGCGCAGGTCTTAGAAGATCTTGCAAGCGTTTCATTGTGCAGTCTTGGGGGTCAAGGCCTTGTAGAGGTCCTTGTGGGAAGATCTTGCGAAGATCCTGATGAAATCCTGTCAGAGGTCCTTGCATGATCTTGAACAGGTCCTTATGAGATGCTCTTGTGAAGATCTTGCTGGCATCCTCTAAGAGGTCCCTACAGGATCTTGCACACGTCCTGATGACAAGACCTTGTGAAAATCATGCTGACATCTTCTAATAGTAGGTCCTTGCATGATCCTGCGCAGGTCCTTAGCAGATCTTGTCCTGGTGCCTCTCTAAGAGGTCCTTGCATGAAGATCTTGCAGATGCCCTAGAGGTGCTTGTATGAAAGCTCTTGTGGGAGGCTCTTGGGAGGTTCTCGTGTAAAGATCTTGCGAGATCCAGCAGCAGCAGGAAGACCGTGAGCTTCTCTTAGGGGTCCTGCCATGAAGATCTTGGTCGAAGCCTGTTACAAGTCCTTGTGAGAAGCTCTTGTGGGGATCCTAGTGAGAAGCTCTTGTGGAGATCCTTGCATGATCTTGTACAGGTCCTTGTGAGGAGCTCTTGAAGAGGTCCTGGTGCAATCCTCTAAGTGTCCTTACATGATCTCGTACAGGTCCTCGTGAGAAGATCTTGCGGAGATCCTGTTGAAATCCTCCTCAAGAGGTCCTTACATTGAGATCTTGAAGATCTTCTGCTTTGGTGCTTGTCTGAAAATTCTTCTGCGATGCTCATAGGACGTTCTTGTATGAAGATCTTGCGAGCTCCTCTATATAGATCTATATAGCAGGTCCTGCTGCTGCAGTTGCGACCATGTCTAACCTCATCTGTTACTGTTCCATAGCTACTGTTGCTTGTATCTGGTACACTGACTTCCTACCCCCCCCACCATGTCTGGGGTCTCTTGCCGGTGTAATGTTTTTAAGCACTGCAGTTTGTTAAGGACTTGAAATTTGAGCCGACCTAATTTTGTTAGCTAAATTCTAAATAGCTAAACAGCTAAACCCGCTTTCACCTATGTTTCTCGGTTTTCCGTGTTCAACCCCCGTGTTGTGCCATGATACTCTCCACGTTCGCATCGGTGACCAATTCCGTGGCATAGACAGTGCTGGCATCGCCTCCATACGCCGAGTTGCCCTGGGTTTCCACCGTGCCGTCGGTGAAGAGCACAGCCACCACATAATTGGTTATGGCCACCTGGCTGACAGCGATACGCCCCAGGATATCACCATTTCCCGGCCACGCAATTGGGTTTATCCTGGAAACGGTACGCAAACATACTTAAATAAATAAATGCTACCAATTACACAATGCCTACAGATGCCTACAGCCAAGCTACGGATTTGAAGTTGCTATAAATCTTTCCAATGTATCTGTCCTTGGCCGGCCACGCACGC